GTTCTGTTAGTTTCTTCTTGGTTCACTGGTCCCCACGACTCTGGGCAGCCTCTAGATCCCCAAATGCCTGTGCCTATGCCTTCGATCCTTCCATCCTTCTTGCCTCCTGTTTTCTCTGCCGTGCACAAATTGACCATATACCATCTCTCGAGTGACGGGATGTTATTCGGGACTCACTAGTCCCGCCACCGTCCATGTGAGAATGGCGGGCGACGAACACACAACGAAAACCGGCGAATCCACATCAGATGACGACAAAGGTTATACATAAATTGCTGAACCCGCCGACTGATATGGTGAGCGAGATGAGAGAGAGATGGAGGAAAAGAGGATGGGTGACAACAGAGGGCACACGGAATTGGACACAGAAGAATTGGGAGATAGCGTGCGCGGCTGCGGAAAATGAGGGAGGTGACATCACAGAGACACGGACGGTGAGCGCTGCTACTCTACAACGGGGATGGTGGCGTCTCTAGTTGACAGAGAGGAGGGAGAGGTGATGGTCTTCTGTTCTGTTTCATGCGGACCTCCTGGCGTCACAGGCTGGCGTTGGTAGAGAAGGGGGGTTGGTGCTTTTGCTTCGTGACGCGAACCTTCAGGCATTGGAAACCTCAGTGTGACTGAGGATACTTTGCTTTATGGGGTGGGACGTTCTCTTCGATTCTGGCTAGCTTTCAGTTTCAGTGTCCTGGTGGATTTGTCGTCGGCTTTCATTCGTACTGTGTTGCCAACGGCGATAATCTTCATCATCATCATCATCGACATTTTTCATAATGCGGGGATAACGACGGTAATCATCATCAGCAGCAGCAGTAGCAGCATTACTGACATCACCATCATCATTATGAGCATCTTGATTGGTGAGTCATCATCATCTTCATCATCATCATCATCATATCATCATCATCATCATCATCATCATCATGATCATCTTCATCATCATCAGCAGCATTACTGACATATCATCATCATCATCATCATCATCATCATCATCATCATTATTGACATCATCGTCATCATCATCATTATTATGAGCATCATCATTGCTGTGTCTTCATCAACATCATCATCATCATCAGCAGCATCAGCATCAGCATGATCATCATCATCATCATCATTATAGACATCATCAACATCATTATCATCATCATTATGATGATGATTAGTATCATCATTATTAGTTTGTTATCAGTAGACTTTTCTCTTCAAGGCATCGTTCGCCTTTTGCATCAGTAGGTGAGTAGGTCGTCATCATCAACCTTATTATCATTATCTTCAGGGTGCTATCCTTCGTCATCAACAAAATCCAAGCGAATGACATTTTGGTGAAGGGGAGGGGGAGAGCCCAGCCCCGCAGGGGTTTCATTAGGCGGGTGGTGAAATCCTAGAGGGGGTACAGGCAAATTGTGAGGAATACTCTTTTCTGGGGCTGGGCATCAAATCCCAGCGGGGGCAGATTAGGGTAAAGGGATAGATAGGGTAATGGAGAGAATGGAGGAAGGAAGGGAGAGAGGGGATTTTTTCTGAATCATCTCATCATCATCATCATCATCATCATCATCCATGTTATATCATGTCTTCTGGTGTGCTGTAATTCTCGACTGTATCTGGCCTCCTTCCTTAATCAGGATATAGGATTTTAGAGATGGTTGAATCTGGACCGATATCTACAGAGTTGCTTTGTCTTTGCCCCTGGTTTGGCAATGCCAGAAYGACSCTKGTCGGARCTGGGGCRTTGCCCTGTAACCTGCAATTAGCAGGAGTGTGAGGCCTTGTAGAGAGATCTGGGGATTTGCCGAGGGAGGAAGGCAATCCAGTGGCGAACCGGGGGGGCTGCCTTGACAACCTATGGGGCCAGGGATAGTCTAGGTGGCGAGAACAGGTCAGCTATGGTAGACATTGGTTAGGAGGGTATTGTCTCTGAGATGTAATGTCCGGGTTCAGGGAGGGATGGAAGGGTTCGGAGATTAGGAGGCCAGAAATGCTGTTATAACTTCTATATACTAATCATCATATTCATTATCATCATTATCATCATATTTATCATCATCATCATCATCATAACATCATTAGTATCATCATCTGATTATTGTTATATTAAGCTTTTTGGTGTTATGAAATTTTGGCTGCATCTAGTATTCTTCCACATTCGGGATATAGGACTTCAGAGATGGTTGAACCTGGACTGATATCTTCTGAGTTGCTCTATTCTGTGCCCTTGGTTTGCCGATGCCAGAACGATGCTGGCCGGAGCTGGGGCGTTGCCCTGTAACCTATAAATAGCAGGAGTGTGAGGCCTTGTAGAGAGATCTGGGGTTTGCTAAGGGTGGAAGGCATTCCAGTGGTGAACCGGGGGGGGCTACAAGGAGGCGAGACGAGATCAGCTATGGTTGATGTTGGTTAGGTTGGTTTTGTCTCTGAGGTACAGTGTCCTGGTACAGGGAGTGCTAGGAGTTGTACTGGGATTAGGAGGCCAGAATAGCTGATATAGCATAATCTTATATATTTTTTCATATATTTGAATTATCATTATCATTAACATCATTATCTATGGTATCATCAGTATCATCATGGTCATCATCATAACCATTTGAGAGACGCTGAGCCCGGTTCTCAGCAGTTTTGGTTAGATCACTCCGGGCAGACTGTGAGGAACCCAGCCTCAATCTTATTATTGGTAATATCAGCCTTGGGCACCGGGCCCGGTTTTTCATTAAAAAAAAAAAAAAAAACGTTGGCTGCGCTGCCGGACCAGAAGCAAGCTGGAGACCTTTGACTCAACCTGCAGCTGGCGATCCCCACCTTCCAATGAATGGCTTCACAAAGTTCACATGGTAAATTTACTGACACACAATGCAAGACATTTGAGCAAGGGGAAGAGACCCTGCCACACTTGTGGCTGGACTGTGCACCGCAGAAAGGATTTTGGGAGTGGTGGGGCTCGACAGGAAATGACATACCGCTACATCCTAGCGGTCCGGACCACAGGATTTCAGTGCTGGTGGGGCAGGCTCTCGCAGGGCATGCATCCCACCAAACAAAAGCATATGCAGGGGATGTGGTGCAAGCAGCGTTTTGGGGGACCCTGTGGGCAATGCGGGCAAGAGGGCTCAAGGAAGGGGAAACGGCTTCCGCACAGACACTTCGGGCGTGGACAATGAGGAATTTTAAGGTGGCCCTCACAGCGGACATAAAGCAACGAAAGGAAGGAGGGTGGCCCTTCCTCGAAGCAGCATGGAAACCATACCCCGAGATTGTGGAAATAGGGAAGGCACCAGGGGAATGGAGGTGGGGGCCGTGTGCAGGAAAGGAACCCAGTGGCATACCGGAGGAGGAGCAAGGAGCGGCGGAGACACAGAGGACTGAGGAGGCGGAGAGGTCAGCCACAAGGAGGACACAGAATGAAGCAGCACAAAGAGGGATCGAACCGGATGTAAGGGATACCAACGACAGGGGGAGGCCCAGGAACGAGGGGGAAAGAGAAAGGGAGGCACAACCGTATGGGGACTAGGATGGGGCTGAGAAGGGAAGGAGCCCGGACCTGGAGAGGACTGTGGATCTGGAGGGGAATGAGGACGGACGACCTCAAACAGGAATGCCACAGCATAGTTGGCCGGATGCTGACTACATGCAGGAGGAAGTGACACTATCAGAGAGTTGGGACTGCTCGTGGGATGAAGTCCATGTAGACTGACAGAGCGTGCAAAAGTGAGAGTTCAATAGAGGGTGAATAGAGGTGTAGAGATGAGATTGCTGTGGGAATGTAAATAACTTTAGAGAGGGAAGGCTGTTGTGTATAAGCAGGAACTGTGAGAGGCTGTATAAAATTGTGGATAAACGGGGGGAAGCGGAACTAGAAGCATGGGAATGCCACAGCATAGCTGGCCGGATGCTGACTACATGCAGGAAAAGGTGATACTATCAGAGAGTTGGGACTGATCGTGGGATGAAGAGTCCATGTAGACTGACAGAGCGTGCAAAAGTGAGAGTTGAACAGAGTGTGAAGAGAGGTGTATAGTTGAGACTGTTGTGGGAATGTAAACAACTTTAGAGAGGGAAGGCTGCTGTGTATAAGCGGGAACAGCGAGAGGCTCTATAAAAACTGTAGATAAACGAGGGGAAGCGGAACTAGAAGCATGCGGGAACAGGGGATGGGAATAGGAAGGGGTGATGGTGGGGGAGGGGAGGGGAGGGACAAGATGATTGAGGAAGAGGGATAGAGTGACGACTGAAGGGCGCGCCAAATGGCTGTGAACACCGGTCAGGACAATGGGAGACCGGGGAACAAAAGGGGCATGGAGCAGGTGGGGAAAGAAGGAGATACCGAAAATAGGGGGAGGAAATAGATACAAGAATACCGGAAGGGCCAGTTGGATGTAGAAAAAGTATAGGTGATAAATATAGAGGAAGAGAGCGGAGACTCTGCAAGTAGGAAGGAAAGGGTGAACGGGATATGCCATTTGGCTGGGAAAAGTCTGAGCGGAAAAAAGGATAGATAGAGAGAGGTACTGGGATTTCGGTAGTAGGAAAGGTGAGAGAGGGGGGACATAAGGGGATGGGGGGGGGAGGGGGGCATAAGAGGGAGGAGATTTTTCCACGGGGGGAGCGAGGGGAGAGGGGTTGGTCTAGCGGGCCCCGACCCTTTTGGGGGGGTGTGGCGACTGGGTGCAGAATGCCTCCCGGCAATATCCCACCAAAAGGCGAGGGGGACCGAGTTCACCAATCATCACAAGCTGTCACAAGCGGCCTGGGACGCCTGCCCCAGGTTGAAACCCCCCAAAAAACTTTTTGTTGTCTGTGCTGTCTGATTCTTTTTCCAAATCTGGTCTGCTTGCCGGTGATAAGTAACCGGACTGATGCCCCCGAGAATAGAAGGGGTTGTCTGTGTGTTGGTTTAAAAAAAAAAAAAAAAAAAACTGCGAATGGCTCATTAAATCAGTTATCATTTATTTGGTGGTCTCCTTACCACTCCGATAACTGTGGTAATTCTAGAGCTAATACGTGCAGCATATCCYGACTTCTGGAAGGGATGTATTTATTGGATAAAAGGCCGATCCGGGCTTGCCCGTTGTTGCGGCGAATCATGGTGACTTGTCGAATCGCATGGCCTTTGAGCCGGCGATGTTCCATTCAAATTTCTGCCCTACTCAACTTTCGATGGTAGGATAGAGGCCTACCATGGTGGTAACGGGTGACAGAGAATTAGGGTTCGATTCCGGAGAGGGAGCCTGAGAGATGGCTACCACATCCAAGGAAGGCAGCAGGCGCGTAAATTACCCAATCCTGACATAGCGAGGTAGTGACAATAAATAGCAATACTCGGCTCTTTTGAGTCCGGTAATTGGAATGAGAACAGTCGTAAACTCCTTGAACGAGGATCCATTGGAGGGCAAGTCTGGTGCCAGCAGCCRCGGTAATTCCAGCTCCAATAGCGTATATTTAAGTTGTGCAGTTAAAAAGCTCGTAGTTGGATTTTTGGTGGGAGGGGTTGGTCCGCTCTTGCGGGCGTGTACCGGCCCTTTCGCCTTTCTTGCCGGGTATGCGTTCCTTGCCTTCATTGGCTGGGATCCAGAGCCGGCGCTGTTACTTTGAAAAAATTAGAGTGTTCAAAGCAGGCCTGTGCTCTGAACATATTAGCATGGAATAACGCGATAGGACTCTGGTCCTATTTCGTTGGTCTTCGGGATTGGAGTAATGATTAATAGAGACGGTTGGGGGCATTCGTATCTCATTGTCCGAGCTGAATTTCTTGGATTTATGGATGACGAACTTCTGCGAAAGCATTTGCCAAGGACGTTCTCATTAATCAAGAACGAAAGTTGGGGGATCGAAGACGATCAGATACCGTCCTAGTCTCAACCATAAACGATGCCGACTAGGGATTGGCGGATGTCTATTGGATGACTCTGCCAGCACCTTGTGAGAAATCAAAGTTAACGGGTTCCGGGGGGAGTATGGTCGCAAGGCTGAAACTTRAAGGAATTGACGGAAGGGCACCACCAGGCGTGGAGCCAGCGGCTTAATTTGACTTAACACGGGGAAACTCACCAGGTCCAGACATAGCAAGGATTGACAGATGGAGAACTCTTTCTTGATTCTATGGGTGGTGGTGCATGACTGTTCTTAGTTGGTGGAGTGATTTGTCTGGTTAATTTCGTTAACGAAAGAGACCTCAGCCTGCTAAATAGCTACGCGGGGACCTTTCCTCGTGGCCAGCTTCTTAGAGGGACTGTTGGACGACTAGCCAACGAAAGTTTGAGGCAATAACAGGTCTGTGATGCCCTTAGATGTTCTGGGCCGCACGCGCAGTACACTGATGAATCCAATGAGTCGCTTGCCTGGGTCCAAAGGCCCGGGTAACCTTCTTAAGGTTCATCGTGACGGGGATAGATTGTCGTAATTATCGATCTTAAACGAGGAATGCCTAGTAAGCGCGAGTCATCAGCTCGCGCTGATTACGTCCCTGCCCTTTGTACACACCGCCCGCCACTCCTACCGATTGAATGGTACGGTAATGTGTCTGGATTGCGGTGATCTCGGAGGTTTGCCGTTGGGGGTGCTATGAGAAGTTCATTGAACCTTATCATTTAGAGGAAGGAGAAGTCGTAACAAGGTTTCCGTAGGTGAACCTGCGGAAGGATCATTGACACGTGAATGGCCGATCTTCGGGGTGTGGGACGCTGGCTTGCTCGCCCTTCCGCCGGCCTTTGCCCCCATCCTCCCTGCATCCGCTTTTCTCTTCCGTTTCAGCACCACCTTGGGCTTAGTGCCCAGCTGGCGGCTGGCCCGGCGCAGAGGGGGGCGTGGTGTAGGTCGAGGGTGGGGGGAGTGGGCAGGGTCCGGGGCCTTGTGGCTTTGCTCCCCCTTCATCTCGTCTCGCCTCCGCAGGTTGTTACCTCGGCCCAGCCCCACTCTCGACTTCTAGTCGGGATGGCGGTTGGTCCGGGCACGGACAGCCCTGCGGGAGGGTCAGGGGCGGGATGTCGGGTGGTGAAGGCTGTCCTCGGCCTGCGTACCTGTGCTCCTTCCCATCTCAGCTTTGTCCAGACCTCCTTTCCATCCCGGCCTCAACCTGGGCTTTGTGCGGAGCTTCTGGCTTGTTTGGGGGGAGGGTCGTGGTACAGGCTAGGGGCGGGGTGTGTTGCGGGGTCCTCGGCCCCTCCCCGTTTCGTCCTGCCTTCCTTCCCAACGGGGTTCTCCTTTCGGACAGATCGGCGTCCTCAACACAGTCAAGGCAGTCTAAATCTCAGGGTGGAGGGCCGTTGGGGGAGGGTTTTGGTCGTGAACGGGGTGGTGTCGGGTTGGGGGCGGGGGGAGGAGACAGCGCTTGCACCCTCGTTGCCCCGCTGCTCCCTGGTGCCCTGCCTGGCCCACGAACGGGGGGTCGGACGGGCCCGTGGCAGCAGGCGATGGCGACGGCTTTGCAACTTCTTATTGATGTACCTGCTCTAATTTGTCGCTGTCCAGGTTGATGACCCCCTTCGGTTCTGGTTGAGGGGTCGGTCCTGTCGGAACGGCACCATATTGTATGAGTCTCGGCAAACAAATATCTTGGCCCTTGCAACGATGAAGAGCGCAGCGAAATGCGATACTGAATGTGAATTGCAGAAATCCGTGAGCCATCGATACCTTGAACGCACGTGGCGCCCAAGGCTTCTGCCGAGGGCACGCCCGCCTGAGCATCATTGGATTCCTCACGACCT